CGAGTCGAGCAGACGCGCTTTTTAATTGCTTTTAGTTAAATTGGGTTTAGATTGTCTTTAAGGCATTAAGGAAAGAACATAAAGAAAGCTGTTCATGGTACTTTTTAAGGGAGTTTTTTATGCTCTTAATGCAGGTTTATTAGGTACTTTAATGATAAAAAGATGGGTATTAGAAGGATTCAAGTTTTTTCTGCCCGAAAGAAGAATACGGAACTAGACAATTTAGAATTCTTGTTAAAGAGTTGTTATAGTATATTTAGAACAGCAAAAAGTTATCAGAATGGATTTACAATCATTACAATAGAAACATGAGCCGACAAAGCCTAGAATGACAACGAGAACAAACAGGATTAGATGTCACAGAACCAACACCAAGTTATCAGCTAGCAGGGTCACCAGACCTGGAGCAGGTCGGTGTTCCCAGAGAACCGATTCACTGCACTGGAACGGACTCACTTCAGGGACAATTCAGCTGTTTGCGTAAGATGCGAAACTGTGATAACACTTCCCTGGCATTGCGCTGCGTCCTGTCTGTGAGTCTGTTCTTGCGCCGGTGAATCGGCGAATTGTGAGTCAACGGGTGAGGAATTATTAAACCACAAGAGCCTTCGCATAAATTGAAAATTGTAAAAAATACATTTTAAATTACATTTCTAAACACAAAAACATATTTTATGAACAATTATCTACAAATAAGACATTAACACAAGTCGCTGAGTCAACATACATGACATTCCTACGTGTTCGGTGTGCGAATAACAGTCATCGCAATGAGGCTGTTACGAAAGGGATGAGGGAGACTGGAGAGTTATGGGAGGAATGGATATCGCCCCTTAGAGAGAGAGAGAAAAAAGAGAGAGAGAGTGAGAGGCGAGGAGATGAGAGAAGTAGAGAGAGAGCGAGAGAGCGAGAGAGAGAGAGAGCGAGAGAGAGAGAGAGCGGAGAGCGAGAGCGAGAGAGAGAGAGAGAGAGAAGAGAGCGAGAGAGAGAGAGAGAGAAGAGCGCGAGAGAGAGAGAAGAGAGAGAGAGCGAGAGAGAGATATTTATCATTCAGATCAACAGTATAATTATATCTCACAGAATGACAGTTACAAATTAACAATAAATTAATTATTTTATAGTACAATTATTAACAACTAATCATTATTCAATTTAATGTTATTTTTATATTTATGGCTTGTAGCTGCAGCTGCGATACAAGCTGCATCTTTCGATGCTTTCAAATTAAATACAATTTTAAATAAGGCATTGGCAAATACGACTACTTATATGGTCTTTAGTTTGGGTACATGCTTTTTAATGACTAGAAAACATTTATCTTTGACAATTTTTCTTATACGGGCTTTGCTCTTTCTTTCTCAAATCAAGTTCATTGTGATGGAGACGATCTGTTTTTTGTCATCCATGAGAATGGTTCCAAACTCAGAGGGGCGATATGGAAGTACAGGGAGAAACGCACTAATGAAGCAACAGACAATGCGTAGTATTTTGTGTTTCCGCTAGAGCGTCATGGTCGCAATTGCACAATTCCTCTTGGAGCCGCGAATAACTACAGATGCCCCGCTATAACAGACTTAGACGACGCACTCAGAACGTTAGCATCGGCGATTTGAGTTACATGTATACTATAAACTGTTTATATGACTTATTTTTTCTCGTGACTAAGAGAAGCCATATTTCTGCGATCTAGATCTTATGAAACTTTAAGGGATCTAGAACAAGTGAAGGTACTTTTTTTAAAATACCTATTTGTATTAATTCTGGTAGCAACAACTAACATACGAAAAGGAAACGATTAACATCACTTCAATAAAAATATTTCCATAACATTGATTCAATTTTGGGCTTCGATCATTTTAATGGTAATAAACTTATCACATTTCAAAATTCACACAGATTTTCAAAAATATGCACCGTGTGGAACCTCTTCTCTGATCTCTGTGTGGGTAGCTACATGCTCCATGTCAGTAGTAAACTAACTAAATTTTGAGTATGGTATTTCGGTAACACGATCAACAGTGATCAATTTTATTGTACTTTATTCTGTTTGAACATCGACACCGGCAGTATGTCTTGTCAACGCATCAGTATTTCTTCAACACGTCACAACAGGTTAAACAGGATGGGAATCACAATGTTTGAAATACACAGCGAGTTGGTAAAGCTCGAGAGGATTAAAGTAAAGATCCTTATTCTTAAGAACAATTCACAAATGTAATGAAGTGTATCTCTTCTGCATTAGGAAACGTTGAAAGTCAACTATCAAAATGTTTCAACAACGAACTAGCATAAGAAAAGCAGGCAATGCAGAAGAGAATACTGAATACCTCGTGCAATTAACAGATCATATACATTCAATTCCAAGAGTAGATCGGTCCAACTTTAGGAATTACCATTGAGATACTCATGTTCATGCAAAGAGAGACTGGGTTCGTATGTCTCTATATCATCCGTTTGTCCATCACAAGAGTTTGAACATTGTTCACTTCCTAAGCATTTGAACTCGTCATATTATGTTTGGAGACAAGGGCATAAAATGTTTTAAAACTTTCACTCCGACAGCAGAAGGTAGCTTCATATCTGCTAGTCGTTACACACGTATTTTTCCGCGCACATCCACACACTATTAAGAATGCCAAACGCTTGTTACAAACGAGTCAAAATAAACATCCAGGAAAACATTCAGTACGGTAATTAAACACTTTCATTATTGCATCTTATAATACTTATCACAGAATTATTAACGGAAAACAAACAATAAGTCACATACTGTACGTAGGCCGCTTGGATGTTCTTATTGTTGTCTAATGTTGACAAGAAAAAGTAAAACAATTTAAAGCGCCCTCCGCTGTGTGAAAAACTGGCAATGATTTTCAGATATTCTTAATTTTTACCATTTAAGGTTCCATAATATAAATTACGTGGTTTTAAATAAAGCTTTGAAGTATTTTGAAAGTGAAAGTGTTAATTGTTCATTTTCAATCAAAAGTTCAAATTCAGAGCCCTGAACATCATTTCGACAGTTGTAACACACGGCAGATGGGGGTATGTGCATATACAAAGGCAGGGAGTAGCATGAGATAAGGCTAGGGAAGGCATTCGAGGGAGAGCACTCTTCCTCTCTTTCACAATCTTGTTAAGGGGCATAAAATCCCCTTCGCGCACTACATAGCTTTCCGCAACTACAGCTACCAAAGAGGCGTGACGGGTGCATCGGGGCAGGCGTGGGACGGACATTTTGCACTGAGAGAAGCTGAGTACCTACACACTACATAACAATACAATCACCTCCGCCAAACACCACAACCACCATCTTCTCCACCTCCGTGAGAACAAATCTAACGAATCAAATGAAGCAATTGTAACGTGCTGGCGCCATGTGAAAGGGTCGCTATTTTGTGTCTGCAGTCGCCGACGAGGACACCTCAGTGCCACAAGTTGTGTACGGCTTCCGCCACGTTGCCAAAATTCCATCTTGTAGGATTTACACGCTGTCGAAATCGTCTTGGCTCCTCTTCTTCGCTTTTCAACCCAACACGCACATGCCGATCGCACTTATATACGAACAACAACTCACCTAGCAATATCGTCACTGACCTTTACCATATTATTATTTATTAATATCATAGAAACACTAAACGTAATGAAGCATACTTTTTTGTCTGGAGTTCAAGAATTGTCCGTCACAGGGGATTGCGCAGCGATGGCGGCACCTTGGGAATCGGGATCTGTGGGGAGGGTTTGTAAATGTACACAGCTGTACGATGAAAGGGCAGTTTGCACAGGAGAGTGATTCTGAAAGGAACTTTAAGGAATCGAAAGACCTCCAAGACCGTGCACTTTTTTGAAATTGAAGATTTTTGATTTTGTGCACCTACTTAATAATAACTTGATTTTTACAAATACCCATTTCCTAAATAAGAAGAAAATAATGAGTAAGAGAAGTGTTGAATGGAAATGCAGCATCTCATGCCTAACCATTGGTTATTCTCCTTATTTTTGATCAAGCTTTTTGTCTATTAAAAATAAGTATAACACGACTTGTAATATCTAATAAAATATTTTTTGAGATGTGGCATAAACGATATTTTTCTGAGACGAATTTTTCCGAGACGTACCCAACTAAATGCAGGTGGGCAAGAGAACTAAGGCTCTGCACATAATGTGTAGAGTGTTAGATTCTATAGAAATGGAATTTTAGAGGAAATAGTTATATAAAAGAAATGATGTTTCTTATTAAACTACTTACACGAACATGCAGAAAGTGAAACTGTTACATTAGAAGATCTAGATGGAAGATGTAGAATTAAATGTAAATGTGCATAGTTAGCCATATTCGAGGGCATCGTTTGTAATTAGAGAAGTGTACCGACATTGAGGGATGCATTGTCAATCAAAATTTCTCTGCCCATTATTACTCGATTACAGGGGCAATAAGAACGAGCACTCTCGGAGTTAAAGCAAGCATTAACTTTGGATCCTGTATTAGACAGAATTGATATCAACGTTCGACGCAAAGGAATCAACTCACAGAAAATGCGGTTAAGACATTTGAAATACAGATTGGAGAAGAGGAAATAAGAATTCAACAGAGGAAGCAGCAGGATTGAAAAGTGTTTGGTTCAGTTTTTCAAAAGAAGAGTACTTAGCATAAAATTAAAAACAAAAACCAAAAACTATTACATATATATTATATTTGGCCACACCTTGAGTGTGGGATGTATGTTGATTTCTTCAATGTTTTATTTTCTCGACTATCTTCTGATGTTTGGTTATATTTTATGTTTATTATTACGAGAATATTCACTTTTATACTGTCAACACATTTGATTTTGATTCTCAAAAGAAATCGGAACAAAATTACCCTTTATTCACGGACATAATGGTGTTTCTTTTCCTTAGTTTGAAATATTTAAATTTAAACTGACTGTCTTATGTTTTGCAAATGAAAATGAAGTAAAATAATTTTATTATATCATTTATGAACTATTGTAGTAAAATTAGTGAAAAAAATATTTTGAAGATGCTGCAATTTCAAATTCGAAAGAAGAAAAATGTTTGCCTGAAATAGTAAATATAAAAAAGTATTGTAAGTACTAAAATGTCTTGAATAAAAGAGTCAGTCAATTATTGAACCTGAAAATTAATTAAAAGAGTCGTTTTTTATTTTCCAAATTTGAACGAATTGTATAAAAGAATAGATTTCCTTGGAGGTGTTGCATTCATTTGTTCGAGGAAACTCTGCTTTTTATTAACATTAATTATCTTTATTATTGATGTTATTATCTTTTACTAATCTTATTCCAAAAAAATTAACTTTTTAATGTCACTTATGTATTTTTACTACTTCATAACCCTGCCACCAACCTAGAGCATTACAGAGTGTGCTTCATTTTGAAAAATCGAACATGTGCTGTATGATCTAGGATTAAAGCCAATAGATACAGCGAAGAAAGACATTTAGGATAGCGGATGTGGGAAGTAGAATTATCCGTATTTGATCTTCGGATATTTCAAGCACAAATAGAAAGAGCTCGTGTAATTTCGAGAGTGTCGGAAGGAGTTCCGAGGACTGAGACTCGACGCCACCGCATCACCTCCACCGCCACCGCATGGCCGCGCAAGGGACCAAAAAGCCAGGGGCCGTTTGTAGACATGAAAAAACAGTACGCAATACATCTGTAACAATATCTCGGTCTCTTTAAAAGGCACTGCCGAATACAAAAGGTCAGCAACAACAAAGGCAGAGTGCGGGGCGGTGGAGACAGTGTTGAGCGACGGTTGACAACGTGTTGCAGGGAGTCTGGATAGCAGATGAGATCAGTGTGAGTGTGTCCATTGATAGACGGCGTTGACGCCATGCGTTCATTTGAGGGATTTCAATGACAACGTAATACATCGTATTCGTACTATGAAACTTTTATCTCAGTTGATCAAATGTGTTTAAAATGTTACGAGCGTGGAATCTTAAGGCATGGCTGGAAATCATTAGAAAGTATTATCAAATCATTACATCAGACGAATCACTGATCGGGAAGCAAGTTCGCAATCATTGAGTACATCATTAACATATTATTTAGGTATGGCAACCATCAAAAGAATGTTGGTAGACTATTTGTTTCTCAGCATTCGAAGAATATTGCTACCCGTACCAACAATTTCAAGTTTGCCTTTCTACTTATTCGTAAAGAACCAATCAAAATTCCAAAGTGAATAACATCATTTCAGTCATTTTGTCATCACAGATTGTATTTCTTCGACATCTCTTCAACTAATTAGACTAAATTTTCACACACTCGATTTGAGACACACGATAAACCTAAATGCATTTCAGAAGTTTCCAAGAATTGAATGAATTTTTACAAAACCCCTTTCATGGGCATTCATGGTCAAATTTATCATTTTCATTTATGCTCATGATTACGATACGTAACCATTACAGGTTACATGTCGGGAACGTACGATATCTAACGACTTGAAAATAATTATGAATTTCTGTTGATTTTAAAGAACATATTCATTTTTTGTAGATACAATTGCCATGCTTGGGGTATATTTTATGCTATTGTTGCTATTTTATTGTATCAGAGATAAAAGTTTCACATGGATGATGAATGTTTCCATTCAATAGCCAATCTCATACACAATGTAATTTTCATTCAGTGAAAAAACAAACATTCAACCATACATCCATAGTCGGCGTTTTGACAACTGTCCTTGAAGTGGAAAATCGCGATGTTTCGTGACATGAGCACCGTCCGTTGCCAGCTGCAGGAAACACTGTTGGCTCGGAACAGCGCGCGCGTCGCGGAGTCGGGGCGTGGCATTCCCGCGCACGGACACGGCGAAGCGCCCGCCGCCGCCGCCGCCGTCGCTGGTTTGGTGAGCGGAGAGCAGGGCGGTGGCGCGGCAAGGTCGGGGGCGGGGCTGGGGCGGGCGCAGGGGCGGCAGGGGCAGGCCGTCGCGGCTGTTACGGCTGCGGCGGCGGCTACGGCTGCCCCGGGGGTGCGGGCGCTGCTACCCCGGAGAAGAGGTGGCGCCGGTGGCTGGCCAGCGGCGGCGCTGCGGGAGCGGCGCTGCCGGGAGCTGTGGCCGACGGCGGGGGCGGCGGCGGGGGCGGCCTGGCCGGGGGCGGCGCTGCCACCGCCGCCGCCGTCCCCGAGCGACAGCGCCTGCACGATCCGTGGGTCCGCCTTGCTGCCCTCGCGGAACTCTTCCAGCGTGAGGCGGTCGTCGTGGTTCTTGTCCATCTGGTCGAAGATTTTGTCCACGCGCTTCTGCGGCGTGTTGTCGTCCTCCGCCGTCGGCTGTTGGCCCTGCAACACCATGCGCGCGCCACGCCGGCATTAAACAGGCACCCGGCACGGGCGCACGCTGCAGGGGCGCAACTGGCAACACTATAGGCAAGATCAGCTGGGTGGCGTGTAAGGTTAAGAGAGAAGCATGCTGAGGAGGCAATGGTATAAACTTTTCCTCCTCAAATCGCAATCTGCATGATTTTAATCATGAATAAACGAGTGGAACCAGAACAGCACGTAGTTTCTCGCATGTACTTTCCCTAAATTGACGTGGAAAGTACTAACATTTTAGAAAAAATCTAAATATCCTTATTTCAAAACCTATCTTTAAGGAACAGACTTCATTAAAGGAAAAAATATTTATCTCTGAAATTGTAGTTGTAAAAGAATTCCGAAAAAAATTGATTTTTTTCAATTTTCGAAAAATTTCAATTTTTAACAGATGTGAGAAGTGCACCATTATCTTAAACACTATCCAACAACAAAATTTAATCAAAAACGATGGAGCCATTGTTTGAAAATGTCCCAGAGGCTTCATGTAAAGTATCCTTCTCCCCGAAATTGAATATATGTTTCAAATTGAAACATCAAATCAATTGAGAATATTAGTTTTGGTGTACATCCTGCTGAGAGTTAAGCCGCTTGTGTTGTTCACAGGCAAACGAACGGTTGGACTGACATTTTACTGTATACTACGTTTCTCTTCGAATGATTTCGCTGAATAATTACAAAGCTTTGTTTTTACTATGTAAATAGTATGGAAGAAACTAAAAATGTGTATTTTTTGCTTCAATTTTACTTGAAGTAAAGACAATTTATATTTTTTTCTACATCGTATCCATATTTTTCCTTTATTATTTTTCTTCGAATAGGGCAAAGTACGCTTAAAAATGGCACAGGCCTAATTTTTGTTAAAGGCTCTGAATTTCTGAAAATTGCAAAAATTTATAAAAACTTCTAGAAAGTATGTGCTATTGTAGAACCACTAGTTTTGGCATGTGACAGTCTTGCACTTGGACTGCTGTGTGTTTAGAGCAGAGGGAGGCTACAGTGCGTTTAAAGATCGGAAGGTATCATTCTGCGCATCGTCAATCACAGGCAACCCAAATTCACCCAACAGAGTGAAACATCAACTCCTCTTGTGTAAATGTACCCTTCTGTAACGAAATCCTTTCATGATAAAATATTGAATGACCAAATAATCCGATCTCAGTTTTGCAGTTGTTTGTTGTGCGCAAAGTTAGCTTTTAATACGCATTTTTGTGAACCTTTCCATTATTAAAATCTCTCTGCTATGAAAGAGTTAAAAACATAGAACACTTTATCATCATTCATCTTGATAATCAGAAGTGTGATTGTATTTTTAGGTATTATAAATATTCTACTTTATTTATTCTGTACACATCGCATACGAGTAATTTCTACATTGTCAATCGCATTGTCCCTGGAACAATTTTGCACCTAAGAATTGAATCTAGTTCCAAAATCAGCAACAATAAATCACTTGAAAGTAATCTAAGATGTGATTTTATTAATGGACAAATCCTAATTATGTTGATTATTTAATATAATGTTTAGGACTTTTGATGAATATTTTAGGTGGAGTGCTGAGCATCCTAGTCTCCTAACGCTACGCATTTGCCTAGTCACCCAGTGAAATACAAAGACAAGAATACATCACAAAATTAACTTTGAAAAATACCAAACCAAATGAGGTGGTGACCACCGTGTAAGAAATACACCAAAGAAGTAGTTTTCTTCACGTTTACAAGCAACAAAGATTTATATTAGTTGATTTTATTTATGAACACGAAACAGTAAAATCTGCAATGTTGTGTGGCCATAGTTTAATCTGCGCACATTTTCTGGAGCTCCGAAATCTCTACTCCCTCTCTTTTGCTACAATGGATATATTTAAAACACTTTGGGTTTAGTTTAGAAAGGAATATAAATAAATAATACAATAATAAACCAAATTTCGAGTATTTTTTCTTTAAATAAAAAGTGGGGGATCCTGGAAAGTAGTGGGTTATGGCTCATCCTTATTAACTGGTTTTATAATTAAAAAACTAAATTTTGATAATGAATCAAAATTACTAGAATAAATGTTTACCTTACGGCATTTGTTAATTAATTTTCAAGACCTACTACTACAAAATGCAAATGTACACTTGCGTATGTACGCTTGCAAATCGTGAGGTTATAGTTGACGAAGCAAAGGTAGCGAGTGCTTTAAGTTTGAAAATAGGACGTTTGTGCACATAGTGAACAGCACTATCGATCGTCTACGCATGGGCAGATGTACTAATGTGATGCGAAACTTGAACTGCGCATGCTTAGCCCATAGGTAGTGCTTTAATGTTTGAGGGTACACAAACTCTTTAATATACTAATTTTAAACGCAAATGTTAAGGAGTGTTTATACATAAATGCTGGGTATAGAAACTGACCCTTCTAATCAGTCCCTTTCCAAAAACTTTTCAGTGGTTATCATTATAAGTGTAGTATTACATGTTTATGTTTAAGTTGATGGCAGGATACAATAATCTACTGTAACATAACAGTGGCACACATAACAGTGGCGAGGCATGGAATTTTTGCGTGGTCATCGCTAGATATGCCCAGTCTTTCTGAAGAGAAGGGTAGGGGCGGTAGAGTACCTTTATCCTAGAATGTTGTGTTTTTTAAATGTTACGTTCAAGTTTCTAGTTTTTAATGAATCTCCGGGGTAGGGTTCCTTACGAAAATATTCAAATGCTTTACATATCCTTGTGTGACAGCAAAACTAAAATTCATTCAATCTAATAAAGTGAAATTAAGTAATTATTTTAAAATTCATTTGGTATTCGGGTATAATTCCTTATGATTAATCACTTTCGACAGGTACGGAATTCTATTGATGGTACCAGTTTGTGATGTGACATCGAAAACAAAACAAAAAACGAACTAAAAATAATAAAACAAAAAGACTCAGCCTGAAAGCCTAAGCGCCCACAGTAATCACACGAGGTCACAGCTTCTTGAGTTCGCTGAAGAAGGGGAGAAGAGGGTAAGCTGCCTCTCTATGTGCACAAGGGAAAACGTACGAAAAAATACAGAGTATCGGCGTCATCTTGAGCATTATTATTATTATTATTATTATTATTATTATTATTATTATTATTATTATTATTATTAAAAGAGAGAGATTTTCGCTGCGCGTGGATTGCGTATCTCGGCCGCGCCCTTCCTCCACCCCGAACTAGACGGTTCCGGACTATCCGCGAGCCGCGGGGAAACGCCCAGAATGGCCGGGTGCCTGGACCAAGCGCCGGGCAGGTATAAATGCGCCGCTGCCGGCGGCCGGAGTCAGTTAGTAGAAGACGTGAGTAGATGTCAGTGGGTTGTAAGACGTCAGTGAGTGGCAGAGAAGCAGTCAGTCCGTCAGTGTGTCCGAAGTGGAAGCTGTTGCTGTGAAATGTGCATTGCGGTGAAGAGTGGTGCACGCGGTTGAACAGCAGTCAGCAGTCTGAAGTCTGCAGTGGAGCTGAGCTGTGAAGGTGCATCGCGGTAAAGCAGTGGTGCAGTGGGGAAACAGCATCAGCAGTTTGAAGTCTGCAGTGGAAGCTGAGCTGTGAATGGGCATCGCGGTAAACCAGCAGTGCAGTGGACCTTGGTGTGGGCGGTGAAGTGTGGTTGCGCAAGGAATTGTGGTCTTGCGCAGAGAATTGGGTCAAGTGCACTGGCTGATACTGTAGAAGAAACAGTATAAATAAATAGTTGTAAGAAGTGAACTGTGTAAATAAATCATCAAGAGAACGAGTCGTGTGTAAAGAAAAAATAAGTGTAATATATTGTAAATAGACAGTAGATTTTAGTGTATAATTGTTCACGAATGAACCTTCTTTGTTTAACTATTGTGTTGGTTTTAATTCACCACGGAGAAACGTTACAATAATATTATAATAATACGTTCCCAAGTCCAGCGCTACGTTCAAGCAATTGAGAAAGCCATGTGGGAGACGGTAACGTCAGAAATTTGGCGGCAAACAGGGCCGATGGCACACCCATACAGATTGGAGACACGGAAATTGCGTCGTAAGGCCTCGGAAAAGCAGCCGCTGCCTGGGGAGCGCGCAGGGACCTCCGGAGCCACGCTGGAGGTGACAGCATGCAGACGGTGGTGATCAGCGAGCTGAACAGGCGGCCCTGATCGGGATAACCCCGAATATACTACAGCCGCATAGCAGCACCCATCCATCTCACTTATAGCTGCACCTGCCGCAAGTGCTTCCAGAGAAGCAATCTATGCTTAAAGAGACCACTGCCGCAGGCAGGCAAACGCAGAAGATGAAGTGGACTACAGAAATAAATACCTTCATCATGCGTGATACTACACCTTACCAAATGGAGACTGACACTACAGCCTACCGACAAAAGTTACTTCAACATTTCTTCACCGTTTCCCTGATTCTGAAGTTAGTGAGCAAAGAATAGCGGACCAGCGTCGAGCAATTGTTCAGAAAAATCTCCTCTCTGCACCAGGTTTGGAAGCAATCAAGGAAGACGTGAGAAAAATGCTTAACTCCTCAGAACCTAGTATCCGAGGACAGTGGGATATCAGCTGTGCAAACTCAGGATGACAATGGACAAGCCATATCAGAAAGTATGGATGATAAGAGTAGTGAAGAGGTGCAAAATTCGCAATGAATTTGCAGTCGCACTTGCGGAATTTGAAGGAACTGACCCACTGAACGCTATTCATTCCCAGACAAAATTGCTCGAAGAAAATTAGCAAAGCAAATCAGCGTCTTGAATGAGAAAGTACTGCCACAACATCTACAACAAAGACCATCTTCGAAGACGTACACACAGCAATTTATTGTGCTGCGGTTGGCTTCAAGATGTAACGGTTCCAAGATTTTCAGCCGCATAGCAACTGCCCACAATGACCGAAGTGAAAAAAGAATGCCACCTTGGGAAAGACCGCTGTGAATCGTATAGAAAGCACTAGGAGAGATATAGGGAGACTCACACAA